CAAAGACAACTTAGAAGGTCAGTGGGAAAAGTCTGTTTCTGTGGTGCTGAGACAAGAAGGTGGGGTCTCAGCTCCATTCCCCAAGAGCGCAGCCTTGGAGGGGCAGCTGCTTCCCGAGCTTCCAGCCCACAGACTGAGGGGGATTCCAGTGGCTGATCAGAGAGGGACTGCAGGGATCTCTTTGCCAGTGCTGAGACAGGAATCTCTTGCTTTGCCGATTTTGGATCTGGGTCACAGTTCTGGGAGGTGGTGCTGGGGTGAGGAGGAGCGCTGGCATGGTGGAGCTTGTAGTGGCTGTGGAGAGGAACCCCTCCTCACAGTTACAGGACAGAAAGGAGTACTTGTGGTCACAGGCCAGGAAAGGAGTAAACACCTCACCCCTTATCATACCACCTTGGAAGAACTGAAAATTTACAGGTCCCTACAAGTATCTCTGAAAACAGCTACACAAACCCCTGAAGCTTGGGACAGTACACTCTCCACATTGGAAGCAGACTCTTACCTTAACAAAGAGTTTAAAACTCAAGTAATTGGCTGGGATCATGAGCAAGCAGCACAAAAAGAGTCAGACTATATTATCTTACTTTGGTGAAAAAGAAGATCAAAATATACAACCAGAAGAAGACAACAAAGTCAAAGCTCCTACATCCAAAGCCTCCAAGAAAAATATGAATCAGTCCCAGGCCTTGGAAGAGCTCAAAAGGGATTTTGAGAAGCAAGTAAGGGAAGTAGAGGAAAAACTGGGAAGAGAAATGAGAGTGATGCAAGAAAATCATGAAAAACAAGTCAACAGCTTGCTAAAGGAGACCCAAAAAAATACTGAAGAAAATGACACCTTAAAAACAGCCTAACCCAAATGGCAAAAGAGGTCCAAAAAGCCAATGAGGAGAATGCCCTAAAAAGAAAAATTGGCCAAATGGAAAAGGAAGTCCAAAAGATTACTGAAGAAAATACTTCCTTAAAAATTAGAATAGAGCAATTGGAAGCTAGTGACTTTATGAGAAATCAAGACACTGTAAAACAAATCCAAAAGAATGAAAAATTAGAAAACAATGTGAAATATCTCATTGGAAAAACAACTGACCTGGAAAATAGATCCAGGAGAGAGAATTTAAAAATTATTGGACTATCTGAAAGCCATGATCAAAAAAAGAGCCTATCATCTTTCAAGAAATTATCAAGGAAAACTGCCCTGATATAGTAAACCAGAGGGCAAAATAGAAATTGAAAGAATCCACAGATCTCCTCCTGAAAGAGATCCCCAAAGGAAAACTCCTAGGAATATTGTAGCCAAATTCCAGAGTTCCCAGGTCAAGGAGAAAATATTACAAGCTGTCAGAAGGAAACAATTCAAGTACTGTGGAAACACAATCAGGATAACACAAGATTTAGCAGCTTCTACATTAAAGGACCGCAGGGCATGGAATATAATATTCCGGAGGGCAAAGGAGATAGGATTACAACCAAGAATCACCTACCCAGCAAAACTGAGTATAATCCTTCAGGGGAAAAAATGGTCATTCAGTGAAATAGAGGACTTTCAAGCATTCTGATGAAAAGACCAGAGCTGAATAGAAAATTTGACTTTCAAATACAGGACTCAGTGGAACATGAAGAGGTAAACAGGAAAGAGAAATCATAAGAGACTTATTAAGATTGAACTGTTTACATTCCTGCATGGAAAGATGATATTTATAACTCATGAGACCTTTGTCAGTATTAGGGTAGTTGGAGGAAAAAAATTATATGTATGTATAGATAGACAGATAGATAGATAGATAGATAGATAGATAGATAGATAGATAGATAGAGGCACAGGGTGAGTTGAAGATTAAGGGGTCATATCTGGAGAATAAAATTAAGGGATGAGAGAGGATTATACTGGAGAAGAGAAAGGGAGAGGTAGAATGGGGTAAATTATCTCACAAAAAAAAAAACAGAAAAGTCTCTTACAGTGGAGGGGAAACGGGGAAGGTGAGAGGGAATGAGTGAATCTTATTCTCATAGGATTTGGCTTAAGGAGGGAATAACATACACATTCAATTGGGTATGGAAATCTGTCTTACCCTACAGGAAAATAGGGGGAGAAGGGGACAAGAGAGCGGGGATGATAGAGAGGGCAGATTGGGAAAGGGGTAATCAGAAGTAAATACTTCTGAGGAGGGACGGGGTGAAAAGAAAGAATAGAATAAATGGGAGGGCAGGATAGGATTAAGGGAAATAGAGTTAGTTTTTCACAACATGTCTACTATGGAAGGGTTTTGCATAACTGCACATGTACAACCTATATTGAGTTGCTTGCCTTTTCAATGAGGGTGTGGGGGAGGAGGAAGAGAAAATTTGAAACCTAAAGTTTTAAAAACATATGTTTAAAAAAACGTTTTCACATGCTACTGGGAAATAAGAAATACAGGAAATGGGGTACAGAAGTCTATCCTGCTCTACAGGAAAATAGAAGGGGAAGGAGACAAGAGAAGGGAGGGGGGAGAGATAGAAGGCAGACTAGGGGAAGGGTATTCAGAATGCATGCCATCTTGGGGTGGGGGAGGGTGAGATGGGTGAAAGTTTGGAACTCAAAAATGTGTGGAAGTGAATGTTGAAAACTAAAAATAAATAAATCTATATTAAAAAAAAGATAAGAAAAAACAAAATGCAATAAAGCATAGATAATGTTAATATGTGTTTTTCTAAGTGAATATCTGGCCCTTCAGGAATCCTTATGCATGGTTTAGCAGCCCCCATTTCTGTTTGAACTTGACACCACTGCCTTAAGTTGCACGTTTGGGGTCAGTCAGTTGTTCTGTCGGGTCTGACCCTTCGTGACCCCATTGGGGTTTTCTTGGCAGAGATACTGGAGCGGTTTGCCATTTCCTTCTCCAGCTCATTGGACAGATGAGGAAATTGAGGCACACAGGGTGACGTGACTTGCCCGAAGTGCCCGAGGCCAGGTTTGAACTTAGGAAGATGAGTCTCCCTGACTCCGGACTGTTGCTCTACCCAATCCCCCCCAGCTGGACACCTGTACAGTCGGCACAGGCAGAATTCTTTCACATACACTTGTGCCTGAGTGCATATGTTGCATTTGTAGATATGACAACCCAACATAATTAGATTTGTGTTCTCTCCCACAAATATTCATTAAGTTCTTTCTATGACTCAAAAAACACCAACAGCTCCTGGTGCCTCCAATATCAAATACCAAGTGCCTCATTGTCACTCAAAGCCCTCCACAGCCTAGCCTCCTCCTGCCTTTCCAGTCTTCTCACACCTTACTCCCCAGCCTGCACCCTTCTGTCCAGGGACACCGGCCTCCTGGGTGTTCCACAGACAAGACCCCTCATCTCTCGGCTCTGGCCATTCTCTCTGGCTGTCCCCCAGGGTGCTTGTTCTCCTCAACTCTGTCTACTGACTTCTCTGGCTTCCTTTAAGCCCCAACTAAAATCCCATCTTTTACTGGAAGCCTCCCCCAAGCCATCATAATTCCAGTGTCTTCCCTCTGCTAATTATTTCCTATTTATCCTGTAGACAGCATAACTTGCATTGTATCTATTGGCTTGATATTCTCTCCCCCATTAGATTGCAAGCTCCTTGAGGTCAGGAACTGTCTTTTGCTTCTTTTTGAATCCCTAGCACTTAGCATGGTGTCTGGAACACAGCAGGTACTTAATAAATGCTCAATGATTAATTGATTGAGTTCTCCCTTGATGCTATCTCAGCGTTGCCAGCTTTCAAGGAGACGCAGCTCGTCTGACTGTTTAAGTCTGGGGCCTTCCCTCCCTGCCCACATTTCTCAAGCCAGTACTGTGTGTGGGTTGGAGCTGGCCCCTCCCAATGCTCAAACTCCAGAGATGTTTGCCGGGCCTGGCCTTGGCCTGGCCACAGTGTCTCCCTTCACACCATCGGGAGTTACAGACTCCCTAGCACCTAACCCCAGTGGGAATACCTTATCCATTCCATGGTGGCTGAGCTCTAGCATAGGACACAGAGGCATATGATGCAAAGTCAACTCATCCGAGCAACCCTTCACTAAAAGGATGAGAACAGTCCTCCCAGCAGGCCACACTCCATCTCCAGGCCTCACTGCGGCTGATGCGTGATGGGCACAAGAAGCCTGAGAAAGCCTAATGCGAAAGGGTGCATCTTGCCAGTGCTTGGGCAGCCCCCAAACCCAGACCCTCATCTGGTTCCCATTGCCAGTTTATTGGACTGCAGTTTCAGTCCAACAGTGCCAGATTCTCCCCTGGCTTGCAGCCATTCTTCTCTCTGTGGGCCCATCTGGCTGGCAGTGATATCAGCGTACATTCTAAGACTGCTCTTCTGGTTCTTTTCCTAATGGGTCCCTGCTCTCTTGCAAGAATGCAGAAGAAGTTGGAGAGAGAAGGAGAGAGAGAGGAACTGATCAGTGGGCCAAGCTCCTGAAGGAGACGTGAGGGGGTGGGGTGGAGGGCGCAGGCAGAGCCTTGAAAGATGAAAAGGTCACCTGAGCCTGGAGGAGGGGGGCAGAGGAAAGGGAAAGGTGGAGGGATGTTTGGACCTGGGAAGGAGGGCAGATCAGAGTGCTCACAATGGATAGCCTCAACTCTCTCAGGAAAGTGGAAGGTGAGGTTAACCGCTGGGGGAGAGGGGGTGGGAGACTTGTAGAGAGTGGGATCGAGAGCTATCTGGGGATGAAGAAGCAGATTTCTGGGCAGCAGCACAGTCGCAGCATCCTAGGAGCCCAGATTTAGAATTCAAAAGGGCCTTAGATTCCATGGAGTCCAATCCCCTCCCTTTGCTGCTTAAAAAACAAGCCTGAGGCCCAGAGGGCCCAATGATCTTCTCCAGGGTCACACAGCTGGTTAATGTCTGAGGTATGAATTGAACCTGGGCTTTCCCTTCTCTACACCCAGTGCCCTGTGCATTGTGCCACACCTCCCCACTACACATGGGCTGCAGTTTCCTGGCTTCTTCCAGCTGTGTCCAGCAGCACTTAAGTGAGAGCAAAGGGCTATAGCTGAGGATCAGCCTGGCATGAATGACAGAAGAGTATGGGGGGGGCAGGAGCTTCAAGGGTAAATGATGGTGCCTTTGGAGCATGGCTTGGCTATGGAGTCAAAACTGTGGAGGATGGAAACTAAGGCCAGAGAAGTACAAGGGAAGGGTGGGGAGGCTTCAGCTCTTTGGAAGACTGAGAAATAGGCTAAGGAGTTTAGGGTCTTTCTTGCCTCCTACTTTACTGAGAAAATTGAAGTCATTCCACATGAATGGCCTTTCTTCTAAAAACCCCTTGACAGCATCTCCCACGCTCTTCTTTTTTCTCCCAGTCTCTCTTCTCATAGTTACCAGATCTCTTAAATGCCACATCTGACGGTCTTTTCTTGGTCCTCAACCTTCTTTAGCTGTTCTTCCAGGATACTCTTCCCTCCGAATTTTTGTGATCCTGCTCTCTCCTGCTTCCTTCTACCTTTTCAGCCGCTCCTCAGTCTCCATTGCTGGCACAAGAAAGTGTGGCTGGAAAAAAAAAAACAAAGTGTGGCTGGATCGGGCTGACAACTCCCACATTCCAAAGGTGGGGGCCAGAGGAGGGAGTGAATCACTTTTTCCTCTCAACTTTACCTCCTGCCTCCAGCCCTTTCCCAGACAGGCACAAAAGGCCACAGCTCTATAACACCAGGGTTTTTTTTTTTTTGTCGTTGGCTTGTTTGTTTTAAGACAAGTTTTATGAACGTCTTTTGTGCTTTTGCTCCACTTCTGGACATATGCCATTGTTTTCCACTACCACCCCTTTGCACACTTGTTTGTTACAAAGAAAAAAACCTCAGCTTACCAATAAACAATGTCTAAATGAATAGACATCACACTTCAATAAAACTGGAGCTAATCTTCATGGTAAGCACAGACTATTCAGTGTGTCCCGAACTCATTGGAAGTCTATGGAACGCCGAGTTGACAATATATCAGGATAGTGTGGTAGAACGGGCACTCAATTTAGAGTCAGAGGACTTAGCTTCCAATCCAAGATCTTCCCTTCATTGCCTGTGTGACCTTGGGCAAGTCACTTAACCCCTCTGGGCCTCAGTTTTCCATCTGCATAATGAGGAGCTTGGAGTACAGGACTTCTGAGGTCCTTCCAGCTCTGACTCAGTGAAGCTTGGCATTACACCTCATATGAGAGGGTGTATAACATTCTGCGTTATAGCCTTCACTAGTGCCGCTGTCTTCCTACAGCCCATGCAACATTCGGTATTCCTATTTTCATCTTTGCCAATTGGCAAGGTGCGTGTTGAAACTTCAGTCATTTTGCATCTCTCGTATTATTTATGATTGGTAGGATGTTTTCATACTGTCATTGACAATTAAAACTCTTCTGAAAGTGATATCTTTTTGTTTCTTATCTTTTGGGGAATGGCTCTGGATCTTCTTTATTTGGGTCAGTTCCCTGTATGTCTTAGCTATCAGACTTATGATCATAATAGTTAATATTTATATAGAACGTTAAGGTTGTGAAGAGTTTTCTGTGTTTTTGATATTTTTAACGGTGATATTTGATGCAAAGGTTTCTCTTCTTATTCTAGCTACATTGCTTTTGTTTATATATAAGCCTTTGAATTTTATGTCATCAAAACAATTAGTTTTGGTTTTTTGTGTTCATGTTTACCCACTGTTTTGTTAAGAATTCTCCCCTAGGCACAGTCATGGAGAGTAAGCCCAGGTGTTTACCTGGTGATACACCGTCCTGTTTTCAGAACAACAAAGAGAGCTCTCAGGGGCACGTAAAGCAGATATATAGTAGGAAGGAGTTCCATGCTGACCAGTATTCCGCCTCTTGTATTAATCTTGTCTTCTCCAGGTAGCATGGTAAGAACATTTTCATTGGAGTTATTAGGCAGGTACATAATCCCTGGATTTGTGATTGAAAATAGAATTACCTGAACAGTCCAGGATTCCTAAATCCATCGAGTTTGGCTCTTGGGAGCTTTACCAGAATGAAATCATGATCCCTACTCAGGTTGTCACCCAGGTTGCAGATTCCAAGCCAGGCTCCCCCTCCTTGGGGTCTGTCCACACTGGCATGAGAATGTCCTCCACGGAAGGAGGACTCCATGGGCAGTAGAGCGGCTAGAGTGGGCTCAGCAAATCTGGACTTCTCAGCACCTGTTCCATGGTGCTGGTCATGGTGCGCTCCATTGCTGTTGCCAAGGAGGGTCACCTGGACCTGTCATCTTCAGGAGACTTGGCTCTGAGGCCCAGCTCAGACATTTGCAATGTACAGGCAGCAAAGAGGACTGGATTTGGAATAAAAGGATCTGGGTTCTAATCCCAGGTCTATCACATGGATGCATTTGGGGGAGCTACTGAAGTCATCTGTGCCTCAGCTTCATCATCTATAGAAGGGAGAGAATGATAAGCTTAGACTCCCTATCTCACTACCTAACTCCATAGGTTACTGAGGGTAAAGGGCTTCATATATCTAACAGGACTGTAGAAATGCACATTATTGCTGCTGGACATGAGTTTTACTGAAATGGAGGGGGGCAAAGGGCTTTCACTGTGTGGCTTAGGTGGTATTTTAACTGGGTCTACGACCCTTGTGTGCTGCTTCTGGCTCCCTAACTACAAAACATGTTTGCAGGTGGAAAAAGCATCGACAGCCACTTCAGTGTGTGTGTGTGTGTGTGTGTGTGTGTGTGTGTGCGTGTGTGTGTGCCTATGCCCAGGTGGGATGCCTCTGTAAACGTGCTTTTACTAGGGCTTGCCCAGAATACTTGCCAATGATGCCCATCGAGGGAGGGTGGCATCCAGGAGCCCCAAAGGGAGCTGGCTACCTCAGAGGACATGGAAGCAGGCGAGCCAGCCTAGCACCAGTGAACCAGGATCTCTTGCTTGGATCCCGTGGCCCCAAGGTGAAACTGGCCTGAAGCAAAGACCAGCCCAGGCCTATGGACCAGCAGTCAGATAACACAAGGCAATCAATCAGTTAGCAAGTGTTTATTAATTACCTCCTTTTTTGTTACTTCTCAGGCTCTGGGTGTTTTTCTTTTCCTTTTTTAAATATAATTTTTTCTGACCTTAATAAAGATGAAATAAAATGATCATTTCCATATACACAGTAGAATAGCAAAAGAGGATAGATTGTTCGTGAAAATGTACGCTTCTGTCATAGATAGCTAATTTTTCTGTTTAAATATGTAAGAAATTCAGCCTGTCACTACCCAAACTGTCCTGCTTCCCTGCACTTCCCTCTGATCTTTCTTCTTTGAAAAACTGCTTCAATGCCCCTCTTGCCTTTTTCTTTTTTGGCATCCCTTTCCCCAGCTCCCCTCTTTCTTCCACCACCCCCACCCCAGTAGAAAAATAGAAAATCGAGGAGATGGCTGTAGGCTTGGGGAGAAGGGTCTAGATGTGAGACGTGTGGAGACAGAAACGGCGAGATTGGGCCGCTCATTGGATGTGTGGGGTGAGGGCAAGTGAGGACTGCTGAAGAGCAGCTCGGTTGTCAGCCTGGGTTACTGGGAGGGCCGTGGGGCCCTTCACAGACGTAGGGAAGCCTGGAAGATGAGAGCGTTTGGTGGGAGGAGAGGAAAACTTTGGGCATGTCAAGTTTGAGATGCCTGCACATCTCATCTTACAGGCCTCCACCAGACTAGGACTGGATAGAGAGATCTGGGCATCATCTGCATAGAGAAGGGCATGAAACTCACTGCTGCTAAGGAGGACGTTTGGAGAATGCATAGGGGAAAGAGCAGAGTGCAGAACAGAGCCTGGGGACACCCAAGTTTGGGAGCATGATGCGGATGGACGTCCAACAAAAGAGACTCAGGGGTGGGCAGACAGAGGGGGGAGAGTAAAGCATCTCACTGGCCTGGAGAGAAGGGCATCCGGACGGAAGCAGTGGCGGACAGAACCCGGTGCCTCGGTCGCCAAGATGCCCCTGCCGATATGGTATTTGCTGCTGTCTGCAAGAGGAGCAGGCCATATTTTAATCTCCAGGAGATCCAAACCAGCCACACTTGAGCAAATGCTTCATTCTCACTGTCGGCATAACTTTTACCAGTATGAGGAGAGCTTGTTCTCCCCGTCTGGTACAATTAGATAGAGTACCAGACCTGGAGTCTTGAAGACTCGAGTTCAAATCTAGCCTCAGACCCTTCCTAGAACGGTGTGATCCTGGGTAAATCACTTAGCCCCAGTCTGCCTCAGTTTCCCCATCAGAAAATGGGGAGAAAAACTCCTATAAATGCACGCTGTTATAGTCTCTATGCCTGGAGCAGGGGATCAATCCCTTCAGAGGCCCATTAAGTACCGAGGCCCATTGGCTCATTTTGTGACCAGGGGAGTTACTGCATGAATCCATCTGCAGCCTGCCCAGGAGCCGAGCAAAGCTTCGGCCCATTTGTCTTGAGGATGGCCTTGTCCAGGCTGGCGGGACTTATCTCTGGCTGCGGCTGTGAGAGTGAGGATGAGGACGCCGATCTCCCGGCGATGGCTTTGGAAGCAGAGAGCCAGGGTTTGGCTGCCAACTCTGCTGCTTGGTGTCCAGGTGAGTGGGGCGGGGCTCTCAGCAGTCACCTGGAGGTCTGTGCTCCTCAGAACATCCCCCAGCCTCCTCTTCTCCTGGAGAACCCCCCAAGCCTTCTACTGATCCCATCCTCACCACCATCCTCTGAACATCCTTCTTCCACGTGGGTTCCCACCACGCATCCCGCTGCAGAGATCCTCTCTCCATGGAAGGCAGGGCCCCCTCCAGCCTGCTGGGTCTCCTGGCTCTGCCCCTTACCACATCTATGCCCTGGAACAAATCTCTTCTCTCTGGGCCTCAGTGCCCTCAGCTTGGCCTGCGCCCCCCCACACCAGCTCTAGATCTGGACCCTATTTTGATCTAAGAGGCTACGATCCGATTTTACAGGTGAGAGAACCAAGACCTGAAGACCTGAAGAGCCTTGTCCAAGGTCACTCCCAGAGTCGCTGTCCTCGCAGCCAGTGAGTTAGTAAGCAGCAGCTGGGCACAGGGATGCCTGGGGTGAGGCATCCCAGACCGGGGGCCCGGGCTGGGACTTCTCCAGATGCACAAGGGGTAATGACACTCCTCGGGGCCAGGGTTTCTGTCACTTTTCTCTTTGTACCCCCAGCAACTAGCACGGTTCCTGGGACATAGCAGGCGCCTCAGAAATGCTCAGGGATGGATTAGAGAGGAAAGGGCACTAAATCAGGAGTCAGAAGGCAGAAGTTCAAATCCGAGCCCCTCCGCTGCTCGCCAGAGGCCTGTTTCCTTTTCCATACAATGAGGTGTGGGACCAGATGGCCTGGGGGTCCCTGGGAAGCTTGGACAGAGATGGTAGTGTGTGCTGTTCTGTAGCTGCTCTTCCCTGGGACACGGGGCCAGTGTTGGGAGGCTCCCTGGGATCGTCTGGCCGAGGCCTAACACATCTGCACTTTGGGGAAGGGGACAGAGGGGACGGGGGAGAAATTCTCTTCATCTGACTGTGGAGTCCGGCCATGCCAGTAGGACTAGTTACACACAGAGTCAACCTTGGGCCCTGCCCACTTCCTTATCAGCAGTGCAGTCTCCCCTGAAAGAGGCCTCCCTCCCCATAATGCCCCCAGGTGCCCCTGCCCCTCACCTGCCAGCTACAGCTAAGCCAAGTATTGACTGATAACTGGGGTGTGAGCTGATGGATCAGAGTGACCTGGGGAATCACGGGTGGGGTGAGGAGGGCCGGGAGAAGGAAGGAGTTCCTTTATGGGGCTTTGGGTCGCCCCATCTCTGGGAAAGGGTGCATCGGGGAGGCCAGAGCTGCCTGCCTGCCTTCAGTCAGGGCTTCTTCTGAGGATCTCAGAGTGGGAGAGGGGGGAAGGGGCCCAGAATGGAGCATGGGAGGGGGAAGGGGCCCAGGATGGAGCAGAAGAGCTAGAAAGGACCAGGCCTGGAAGAGACCCTAGAGCACAGAGTATCAGGGCTGACAGAGACCTTAGAACATAGACTGCACTCACTTGGAAGGACCTTGGAACATAGAACAGAGAACGGCAGAGTTGGGAGGGACCTTAGAACTTAGGATGCCGCCAGGCTGGGGAGGGTCCCTAAAAGACAGAAGAGAGGATGGTGGGGCAGAACTGGGTGGGAGAGGGTGTCCACCTGAAAAACAAAACAAATACAGAGTTTCTTGCAGCAAGAGTTCAAGACAAGTCAAAACCTAAAGGCTTCTGGGAAAGAGCAAGAGTTTTAGACCTAGCCATGACAGAGTTTTGGATTGTAAAGGGAAATCAGAGACTTCCAAGGCTTGAAAAGGAAAGGGGTCATTTTTTCCTTCACAAGGGGATGGAGGCAGCCTTAGAAAGACCTGTGTTCACAGACAAAGCCAATGCAATCAAGAGTACAAGGGAAGCAGAAAGCTGGGAAATAATTTTTACTGCCAGTGTCTCTGATAAGCCCCTCATTTCTAAAATACATAGAGACCTGAGTCAAATTTGTAAGAATACAAGCCATTCCCCAATTGAGAAATGGTCAAAGGATATGAACAGGCAGTTCTCAGAAGAAGAAATTAAAGCCATCTATAGTCATATGAAAAAATGCTCTAAATCGTTATTGATTAGAGAAATGCAAATCAAAACAACTCTGAGGTACCACAACCTACCTGTCAGATTGGCCAACGTGACAAAACAGGAAAATGATAAATGTTGAAGGAGATGTGGGAAAATTGGAACGCTAATGCATTGTTGGTGGAGTTGTGAAATGATCCAACCATTTTGGAGAGCAATTTGGAACTATGCCCAAAGGGCTATAAAATTGTGCATATACCCTTTGACCCAGCAATAGCACTTCTAGGTCTGTATCTGAAAGAGATCATAAAAAAGGGAAAAGGACCCACATGGACAAAAATATTCATAGCAGCTCTTTTTGTGGTGCAAAGAATTGGAAATTGAGAGGATGTCCATCCATTGGGGAATGGCTAAACAAGTTGTGGTATATGAATGTAATGGAATACTATTGTGCTAGAAGAAATGATGAAGAGGCTGACTTCAGAAAAACCTGGAAAGACTTGCATGGTCTGATGCTGAGTGAAGTGAGCAGAACCAAGAGAACGCCGTACACAGTAACAGCCACGTTGTGAGATAACTAACTAACTTTGATAGACTTAGCCCTTCTCAGCAATGTAAGAATCTAAGACATCTCCAAAAGCCTAGTGATGGAAAATGTGATCCACATCTAAAGAAAGAACTATGTAGTTTGAATGCAGATAGAAGCATACTATTTGCTCTTTTTTTTTTCTTGTTTTGTTTCTTCTTCCTCATGGTTCCTCTCATTAGTTCTAATTCTTCTTTATATGCTTAATATAAATGTATCAGTAGCGCCTATATCAGATTGCACATTGTCTTGGGGAGGGGGAGAAAATTTGAAACTCAAAATCTTATGGAAGTCAATGTCGAAAACTAAAAATTCATAAATAAATTGTTTATTAAAAAAGAAAAAGACCTGTGTTCAAATTCTGCCTTAGACACTAGCTGTGTGACCCTGGGTAAGTCACTGGACCCTGTTTGCCTCAGTTTTCTCCTCTGTAAAATGAGCTGGAGAAGGAAATGGCAAACCAGTCCAGTATATTTGACAAGAAAATCCCAAATCTGGCCACAGACACTTACTAACTGTGTGATCCTGGGCAAGTCACTTAATGCTGTCTGCCTCCAGAATCCAAGAAAACCCCAAATGGGGTCATGATGAGTCAGGTAGGGCTGACCAACCACGGAGACACGAAGGAGGTCACCCACTGGTCTTCATCCTTCTAGATAAGGTAGTTAGCAGGAGCTTAACCAGTTAATTAGCTGAATGAATGAGAAGATACTGTTTTCTTTGGATGGGGTAAATAGCTATGCTAAAGAGCTTCATTTGTCCCTTTTCTTTGGCTAAAAATGTACCTGATCCCGTTATACGAATGGAATTGTGGGAGGCACATGTCCATCACTACTGATGGTGTGGATGGGATCAGTCACCTGTCTGGAACCCTTGCTGGCTTCTTTGGGCAGGGGCCAGCAAAGGATCTTGAGAATTCTTGTCAGAGTGTCAGAGCTGGCAGAGGGAGTGTCAGGTCTAGAAGGGACCTCTGGGGCAGCTCGATGTCACCATGGGTAAGGGTGCTGGCCTGGGAGTCAGGAAGCCTGAGTTCAAGTTTTACCTCAGACAACTTACAGAGCTGTGGGACCAAGGGCAAGACAGTTCACCTGTCTCATCCTCAGTTTCTTCATCTATAAAATGGGGGTGATAATAGCACCTACCTTCCAGGGTTGTTGAGTGGATCAATGGAGAGGGCGTGTGTCCTGTTTTAAATCTTAGGCGCTGTCTAAGAGCTTTACTAGAGCCAAGATCCAAGAGCTGGAAGAGATTGTAGACTGCTGAGCAGAGAACGGCGGAGAAGGTTCAATGAACCTCCACTGGTCAGTGCCTGAGGCAGGATTCACCCCCCAACCCTGCTGACTAGTGCACTGTCTCCAAGCCTGTTGGAATAGGTGGATTCTCTTACCGCTAAGTTGGCCCCCGAACACTGCCCCTATTGTGCCTCGGCTTTCCTCCCCTCCTGCCCCCGCAGCCTTCTGACCCAACCTCCGGCGGCCAGGCCTCTCTCCCAGAACGGATTAGGCCGTTCCCCTTTGGAACTCGTCCTGGGGCTTGGCTGGCTCAGTCGGTGAGTGAGCGAGACAGTACTGACTGATCCTAATGGCTGCGGCTGGCTGCGGCCCACGCTCTCCCTCCCACCCACTTCGGCCCCTCGCCACCTGGCCTGCTTTTCCACTTCTTGGCTGGAAGAGTAACCAAACCGAAGCCTCCCTCGCTCCTGGAAAGGGTGGAGCAGTCATCTTCGTTATAGCTCCCACACTCACCATCTCCGTGCCTCCTCAGAAGGAAACTCCCTTGCCAGGCCAGGCCTCCTCCGCGTATCAGATGAGATAACGGTGCCTGGCACAGTGGTGTGTGAATGAAACAGCATTTCTTAGGTCTATACTGCTTGCCAGATCCTGAACTAAATACTGGGGATACAAAAAAGTGAGCCAGCTGTTGCCCTTAGGGAGCTTGCATTCTAACTGGGAAAGTCAGCGGAAGGGGGAAGGGAGGGGAACCAGCGTTTGTTACGCGCCTACTACGTGCCAGGCACTGCTACCTCATCCCCTATCTAGAGGAGTAGCGGCCTGGGAAGGGAGGGTCCATCTGGGGTGCCTCTGAGCTGGTGAGCAGAGGGGCCGCGGGGAAATCAGTGGCCAACCTTTCCAGAAACGACGGCCGGAGGGCTTCCTTCGAGGCCAGGGAAATCACAGGTGTGGCTAAAAATAGGGAGTCTTCAGGGTACAGCCCGGAGCACCTGACTCCCCGGCAGCCCGGATTCTAGAAGAAATGACAAGGCTGCTTGGATGGGTGGATGTGACATCAAAGGACCTGGGCTCCGAAGTCCCTGAGCTCCTCTGGGGGCTGCTTCCTCCACTAAAATATCGGCGTCAGACGAGCCGATCTCTGAAGTCGAACGTGGGGGGACTTTTGGGGGCGGGGCTGGAGACGTTGAACTAGCTCAGTGGAAGAGCGCCAACTGGGGAATTTTCAGCGTGAGCACGCCTACCTCGGAAATCAGCAAACACTAAAAAAGAGCAGGGCCTGGTTTATGTATCGCTAATGGTCTAGGCTTGAGAAAGTGATGGAGACAATGCTAAGGTTGCAAGTTAAACTGAAAAGTGGGACGGACAGCTGGTTGTTAAACATTTGCCGTCGCCCCGCTGGTGTGGTTTGTGGCTGTTTAATAAGGGGAGGGATTCATCAAGGGCTGGCCTTGCTAGGCCGCGCTTAATTCCTCTTTAGACAGGGAAACCAGTTTGCCTGGTCTGCAGAACGTAAGCAGAGCAGGACTCCGATTTTACCAAAGCAATTGGTGATGTTACTGTGCGGTCTACACAGACAAATCGGGGAGATGGTGGAGAGAGGCGAATCCAGACCTGGCTGAAAGGCCAGGTCCAGAGGGCAGTGCTGCTGCCGGGGTCAGTGCTTCAGGGGGAGCCCTCTACATCAGACCCTCCGGGATCTAGGCTCGGCCCCGTGCTGGTTAGCCCTTTGCTGAATGATTCGAGTGAAACAGCGGAAGGATGCTGCGTGTCAAATATCCCGGGGGCTCAAGGCTTGGAAAGGGAGAGCGAGCTAACATGTTTGTGGCAGGCAGCACCCTGCCCAGATTCGGTCTACTGAAAAGCAGTGGGGACAAACGCGCGGCTCTTCCGTTGGGATGAAAAGATTGACTTCGCAAGTGCAAGGTGGGAGAGATAGGACTAGAAATCAGTTCTTGTTGAAAAGGGCTGGGAGTACAAGCGGACACTGACCTTTCTGTGAGTGAAGGTGTGATGATGGGCGCCATGACAGCTCAAGCCTCCTAGACATCCTCAGGAGACACTTGGTGTCCGGAATGCGGGAGGGGATTGTCTGCTGCTAGGCGGCAGCTGGGGCAGCTAAGTGGAACGGGATTGAGCACTGGGTTTACAATCAGGAGGACTCATCTTTATGGGTTCAAATCTGATCTCAGACACTTACTGTGTGACCCTGGAGAAGTCACCTGACCCCGTTGCCTCAGTTTCCTCATCTGTAAAATGAGCTGGAGAACGAAATGGCAAACTGCCCCAGTATCTCGGCCGAGAAAACCCCAGATGGGTCCTGAAGAGTCTGCCGACTGAAAGAAAACAACAAGGAAAGGAGGCAGCTAGGGGTGGGGGTGCCACAGCACATGGAGCTGGTCCTGGAGTCAGGAAGAGCTGGGTTCAAATCACACCTCAGATGCTTAATGGAAGCCACTTCACTCCTGTTTTCCTCAGTTTCCTCAACTGTAAAATGGGGGTGATAATAGCACCTCCCTCCCAGGGTTGTTGCTTTGAGGATCAAAGGAGATGATATTTGTAAAGGACAGAGCCTGACCCGCAGTCGGGGTTGAACAGGTGCTTTTATTCCCTTCTCCCTCGAGGAGCCGCATCTGAAGGGCTGCACTCATTTGGGAACATCATATTTCAGAAAGGATGTTGCTAAACCAGAAAGTGTCCAGAAGGGGGTGACCATGATGGGCAAGCAGCTCAGGGTCATGGCTTGTGATAATTGGCTGGAGAAATTTGGGATTTTTAGCTTAGAGCAGAGACGGTGTGGGGGACACATGAAACTGTCTTCAGGTATTCACAAGTCTTATGGGGAAGTGGTAACAGACTTGCTTTGATTGGCCCTAGAAGGCAGACTTGGGAGTCATGGGGGTGGGTTCAAGCAGAACGGGCTGCCTTGAGACCCAGGTGGCTCCTCACCTCCCCCGTTGGAGCTCTTCAAGCAGAGACTGGATGCCCACTAGCTAGAAATGCTGTGAGAGGGTTTCTTGGTCCTGTAAGGGTGGGACAGACTGACCTCCAGGGCCTCCTTCTGAACGTCCTTTGTCCTGCACTCACATCCTTGATCCTTATCTGTCTGTCATTAGTGTCTACTTATGCTTCTGCTTTTTACCTGTAGCCCCCTCCCATCACTGGCCAGTCTCACAGATGTTGCCAGGGAGACTCAGGATGTAACCATGGCAGCCAAGCAGACTTCTCTGCCCAGAGTTCCCAATTGCCTGTGACATTGAACCTGGCACTGGAGGAAAAAGCAGAAGTAGTAGAGACTGGAAAAGGGAGAGAGGGTGGGTTTTTTCTCCCTTAAAGATACAGGAGATATTTTCCCCCTCAGCAGAATCTAGGGTGAGGGGGAGGCCCAGGAGAGAGAAAATAATAGAGTCCAGACTGCTAGGGAGCTCTTGGGCAGTCTGGTGAAGGCTGTGATCCCTTTCTCAGAAAGAATGCTTTTAAATGCATGAAATAAAGTACACAGGATGACAAAGGAAATGAATTATACTGAAATATTGTTATCAAAATATATAGATTTTTAAACCTAGTTCATGGACCCCAGGTTAGGAAAGTGATTGCATTATGTTGCACTTTAAAACCCTGTAGCATCTCTCCTGAGCCATTTAAAGTGACCACCTTTCTGTCCTGTCACCTTGGGTCAGGGCTTGGGGCCAAATGGTAAGGAGGAGCTGCCTCCTTACCCCTCTCCACAGGTCCCCTGGCTTCATCACCTACACAAAGAAGGCCTCTTGTGCAGGTGATGGCCTGCAGCAAGCTGGCCAGTGCTGGAGTGAATTGTCTCGGACTCTGCCGTAGACCATCCTGCCACTGCCCACTGGGAGCTGGGTGGGGCCAGAACATTTCTGGGTCTGAGCAGAGCCTCCTGGTGGGACATCTCCTCCTGTGCCTCAACCTAGGCATCTCCAGCTGGTCAAGGCCTGGTCCCTCCACCCCCGCTGCCTTTCCATGCCTAGACTCCACATTCCTTCCTGCCCAGGTCCAGCCAGTCTCAACCTAGAGTTGAGCTGGCCGACTCGACTCTACTCAGGTAGTGAGTGGCAAAGTCAGAGCCTGACCCAATTGTTTCCATGCCAGCATCCCATGTTACCTCTGAGAGGTGGCCTGTCCTTACCCAAAAGCCTAGGGAAGGGAAGGAAATAGGCATTTATGTAGTGCCTGCTGTGAGCCAGGCTGAACACCTGATGAATACCACCTCATTTGTTCCTCACGACCACTCCGACTTGTAAGAGTTGTTATCATATGATATTTAACATATCACTAAAATAAATCTTTTGCAGCTGGGGAAACTGAGGCAGAGGTCAAGTGACTTGCCCAAGGTTACCCAGCTACTGAGCGTCTGAAGCTTTTCCTGTTCCCAGGCCCAGTGCTCTGTGAGAGAGGAAGGAAGGACGGGTTCCTATGAACACATTTCTCCTTCGGAGGTGTGCTCAAGGCGGAAGGGAAGTTCTCACCCATGAAATGCTGAAGACACAAGAAGGATTCCATTGAGAATCACAGTTCCTATTCCCAGAGCACTTGGCTCACGGGTGGTGGGAGAATTATTATTCCTACTTTACAGATAAGAAAACTGAGGCTCAGATATGGGAATCTCTGAGGTGTCACTGGGGTGGCGGTTATGGCTGGCCCTCCAGAGACCACGCCCTGGGGTAGCTGGGCCCCTCAGTTTTGACACCCCTTCCCTGATCGGGGAGAGGCCCCCATAGCCAGCCAGTCCCAGATCCCCTGGGAGGCTCTGCTCCCACTCTCTCATATCTTCCAGCCGTGGTCCCCACTCCCATCTGCTTTTTACTCTGGCAACAGTAGTCAACAGGATTATTGCTTTTAGAAAGGATGCACCAATTAGCTGCCTGGGGGCTCCACAGACCCCACCTCCCCATCACCCCCTATTTTTATTGTCTCTTGCTATTAGAACATAAGCTCCCCGGGAGCAGGGATTGCCTCTTGCATGTCTATCCTCACCATTCAGTCCAGTGCCTGGCATTAAGCCAAGGTCTCCCACTGCATCCTGGGCCATCTCCAGTCGCCCTGATCTACATCAGGCCACAGAACCCAGATGGTTCTGGAGTAGACAGTGAGGCTGATGACCTCGCGCAGCCCTCCCTCACCTAAATCAAATTCTTTCGCGCGTCATGGCATCCCCTCCCTGATGTCATGGCCCTCTTTGAGAAGGAAGGACAAACAATAATGCATGAAGTACTATAGCAGAGGCTTAATCCATCTTTTTCATTCATTTATTCAACCAGCATAATGTGCAAAGGCTTTGCTTAAAGATAAATCCAGGAAATTTCAAATGCTGAAGTATCTTGTTACACTCACCTTGCTTCTTGGGAGGGCAAAGCCCCTTCGTGGTTCTGCTAAACAAACTGGTCAGCTCAGGGTATCTTCTGTCTTCTACCGTTTTTCCAGCTGTCCCCCGTGCCTGGAATGGTCCCCTCATCTGGGACCACTGACCTCCCTGGCACTCTTTAAGCTCCACCTCCAATTCCATCTGTTCCTCTATTCCTGGAAGTCTTGCCCTGCCCATCTTTCCCATGTATCCTGCTTATAGCTTGCTTCCGCTACCTGCCATCTCCTCTCTTAGACTGGGAGCTCCTTGAAGGCTCTGCTGATATGGAGCGTGTAGATTGGCAGCTTTTCACCAGCAGCCCAAGTGTGCTCCTCCAAAGTCTTTGCAAAGATGAACTCATCCAATATGCCAACCCTTCCATTTGGGGCAGATCACCAACAGTTTTTTCCTTGAGCCACTGAGAAAAGTGAGGAGCTTCAGAAATGCTCCAGAAATATGCTCCAATGGGTGGGATCCCATGGGTCAGCTGACAGTCTTCATTTCCTTATAGGCTTCTGCCATGGGGATCCACAAGGGAATCCACCATGCTGGACTGCCATGAAAACCACCGGTACCCATTCAGCTTCTCCCTCTCTACAGGCTCCTTCCCTGCTGCCTACATGCATTCCCATGTCTCCCCAACCCTGAAAAACTCTCACTTGACCCTTCTATTTCTGCTCTTGTCCTGTGCCTCTTCTTTCCTTTGTCACCAACTCCTTGAAAACGACGCCTACAAGGGGCGCTCCATCTTCTCTCCTCTACCTCTTTCTCAACCCAATCTGGCTTTGGATGTAATCATGCCACTGAAACGGCTCTCTCCAAAGTTAGGAAGAATCTCTTCTGTATTAAATCCCAAGGCCTTTTCTCAGTTTCCATTCTCCTAGACCTCTCTGCAGCCTCTGACACTATTGATCCCCCTCTCCTCTCTAGTTTTCAGAACATCCTTCTGTCCTGATTCTCCTCCTCCCTCTCTGACCACTCCTTGGCTGGATTCTC